TTAAGAAGCCTTCTTGATCTGCTCCACCTGCAGATTCTCACATGGACCAATAAGCGTGGAAGGACACAGCTCACACACTTCAGCAAGGACCTGGAGGAGCCACCACAATGGCTTAAGCTCAGCCACTTGCAGGCTGCTTTTTGAGTCTGTGACGGTGTTTGGGCTGTGGGAGGTACATCCAACAGGACCTGGACTCAGACCACAAAGGCCTTAGGACAGCCCTCAGATGGTTTCCATACTAAGGAAGAAATCAACGTTAGTTGGGCTACACAAATCTATACACTACATGGTGAAGAAATGTTATTCTAAATCACGCTTGATGTTTCTGAGATTAATGATTTTTTTTCCCTGTCCTTACACAACACTGCAAGCCCTCTACACATCAGTCAGCAGCTTGTATAATGGATTCCAGACTTCTTTAGCTATACTAATATTATGACTATACATGGCCCTCCTTGTCTCAAGTAAATAACGGAGCGGTCTGCTACAACAAGATTTAAACACCTCGGGGATGGTTCCACCCACCATATCCTATTGGCTTGCTTTATCTTTTCTCTCTGACATCTCTGCCTCAGTTACTCGTTTCATAGCCAATTCACAGTATGTAAACTAAACATTAAATGAAATGATAAGAGAATGAGCATTACACGAATTTTAAATCCAAGGAGACCCCACATTGCTTTACAAGCCGTGTGTTAATCCTGACGCTGTTCTTGGGATATTTGCTTACGCTGTCAGTAAGGACAGGAAGGAGAAAAAGTCTGCAATGTTGCTTTGATTCTTCGTAGAATGATAGAATCATTTGAGTTGGAAGGGACCATTAAAGGTTATATAGTCTAACTCCCCTGCAATGAACAGGGATATCTGCAGCTCTATCAGGTTGCTCAGAGCCCCATCCAGCCTGACCTTGAATGTCTCCAGGGACAGAGATCAGCCACCTCTCTGGGCAGAATGATATGCAAGATATGCAAGAATCACATTCCTGCTATCATACAGTACTATCTTCTAGAATGAAGATGTTTTTTAATTGTATTATGAAAAATGTAGGACAGGAAACTAAAACTTTGGCATCTTTTGTCATCATGAAACCCTGTGGACTTTTTTGGAAAACATTTTTAACAGTATGCAAGTTTTATATCCTGGGATATATGCATATCTCACAGGACTAAAAAAATCTGTTTTGCATTTTCATATAGTATTTTATTATTTTTGAGCAGAAAGAAAGCTCATTTATAAATTGGAGCTGGTATGACACCAACTATATATATGTGAGTGTATTCGTGAGGTGTTAAAAAAGAATGTTTATTTTCTCAGTGGAGGAAAAAGCAGGGATAATTTTGATGCTTTAAGTTAATTTCATAAAGTAAAATCTTGCGGTTATCAGAGCAGATCAAGAGGTTGATGTCATCATCAGGAATAATGGAAATTCAACTATAAAATACAGAACTAAAAGAGGCTAATAACTCGTCAGTCTTAAAAGAAGTGATGGAAATGATAAATCCAGTAACTCCGTTATACTCCTTCACTGACAGAATGATTAAACTGTGAGAAGACAGTACTGAGATCATTTATCAAACACAGGCTGCAGCAGAAACAGACTTTGAAACTAAGTCTAATTCATACATATATGGCAAAATTTCCATATTTTCATGTATATAACCTGCAGATTATCTAATGGGGAAATAAATAGCCACACAACCTACACTTACTCCCCACTGTCTTAGCATGTGCTGTAGTACACAAGACTTAACTTTTTCTGAAAGAGCTCCCTATTTAAAAACCTCTTGCACACACTGATCACCTTGCCTGTGATCATCGCTGCTTACTGCACTCTCCTCTGTATTTTCCTGTGTTAAGTGCAGACTGAGACATCTATGAATTTAGTTCAAGGGCTGCGAGCTTTCAAAAGTTGCAGGTTATAAGCTTGAAAATATGGTATCTTCTGCTGTGTCCTGAAACACAAGGGATAAGTACAGATTTGCTAAGGAAACAGCTACTTATTTATTTCATTGAGCAATGAAAGGAACTAGAAAAAGTAAATGCTTTTATGGGAACTAATAGGAGTATAGACAGACAGTGCAGTGGGGAAGGGGTCAGGGTTAGTACAGTGATGTATCAATGCTCATCTCCTGCAAACACAGGAAAAAAGAGCATGTGATATGCTCACCTGATCCTAACATACATTCTCCGCTTAATGCTTCAAAAAAAAAAGAAAAAAAAAAAGCAAAAAAAAAGAAAAAGAAAAAAAAAAAAGCAAAGAAACAACAGAAGTCAGTAAAGGAAAGTGATCAAGAATTCTTCAAAAATTACTGGATAGTCTTCTTTCATATGGCAGAACTACCAATTGATATCACCGAGTGTAATATTTTAAACATAAGCGCATATATCCACACAGTCATTACACTTTTGTATACACACACACATACACACACGTACTAAGCTGAAAACACGATGGTGTATGACTGAAGTGCTGGTTTTAACCTGAATGGCATTTTGGACTAAAGACTGGGAATTCCACATGCAAAAAAGCTTCAGGGATTGAAAGGAGAAGAAAAAAAGAAGAAAGAAAAAGAAGTGGAAGAACAGAAAAGAAGAATGGTTCTATCTAAATACAATCTTAAGTGACACTATTAGGAGTCTCCCATTTGGACAAGACCTGCTAAGTGTAAACTGCACCACATACATTCAGTACTGACTGCTATGACAGATGAGCTCCTCTTTCACTGATCCTTTCCATCACCAAGTTTTCTGTTAATCACAAAAAATCTTCAATGATTTTCACTCTAGATACACATTTAAAGTTAAGGAACAAGTTATGTAATAAAAGGACTGTTTCTAACATCATCTTGTTTTCAACACAGTACTCCCCAAATGTTTCAGATCAAGACCAACGCTGTGACTTTACGTGCTTCATGATATCAGAACTAACATCATCTTTTACACCTTCCTCATTCGTGGATCACTTTACTTAGCCAAAACTCCACTCTCTGTAACACTTCTAAAACACACTAGTGCACCCTCTTGCCCCAGGCTGAGTCTGTATGCTGTGTAGAAAACTCCTCTTCACAAGAAAATAAAAAAAAATCACCTGCCTCAGTTGACATCTTATTCAGAATATCACATTATTCAGGTCTCTTCCTTTGATTCTTTTCTGTTTGGTAAAAACAGTCAAAAATCATTTTGTGACAATTTGTCCCATAGTTATCAGTCTTTTGGTTTCTTTTGTTTGTATTTTACATTCTCACTGTTTCTGAACCTGTCTCCCATTTGGTCTTGTTGTGGTTGTTGTGCTTTTTTTTTTTTTTTTTTAATTTTGTTTTGTTTTGGTTGCATTTAATTTTACAGTAGCCTACTTGTGTCATCCTGTCAAATTAGATGAAGCTATGCTTTTTTCAGCTATGCTTATAAAAAACTAACCCGGTTTTCATGTTGTTTCTGTGTCTCATACCCCAAATGAAATTGTGACATCTTACATTGAAGCAAGTGTTGCTATTTATACAGTCTTTTAAAACCAGACCAACAGACACATAGATACACACGACAAACAGTTTTGATACTAGATGAAAATTAACTTCATAATGATTGATGTAGAAAAAAAAAATATAATTTATTTATACCACAGAATAGAATCTTTAAATGGTTTAGGTTGGAAGGGACCTATAAAACAATCTGGTTCCAACCCTACTGCTGTAGGCAGGATCACTTCCCACTACATCAGGCTGCCCAGGGCCACATCCAGTCTGACTCTGAGTACCTCCAGGGATGGGGCTTCCACAGCTTCGGTGGGCAACTATTTTGTACTGTTCCAGTTCCTCATCTCTCTCCGAGTTTAAAAAAAAAAAAAAAAAAAAATCATAATATCTAAACTGTGTCTACTTTCTTCAGCTTAAAGTGAATACTGTCCTGTCACTGTATTTCTCTGAAAATGAACGCATCTTTCCTATATGTACCATTAAGGTATTGGAGGGCCTTGTGGAGGTCCCCCAGAGTCTTCTCTTCTCCAATCTGAACACACCAAGTTCCTTCAGCATCTCTTCATAAAAGAGGTCTGTCCCTCTGAGAAACTTCATGACCTCTTCTGGACCTACTCCAATAGCTCCATGTCTTGTGCTGGGTGCCCCAGCCCTGGATGCAGTACTCCAGATGGGGCCTCACAAAGGCAGAACAGAGGGAAACAGTCCCCTCTCTTGCCCTGCTGGCCAACCTTCTCTTGATAAAACCAAATTTACAGTTGCCTTTCCAGGCTGCAAGTGTACACTGTGGGTTCATGTCCAGCCTTTTGTCTACAAGAACCCCAAGTCCTGTGCAGGGCTAAATCCATTTTTCACCCAGTCTCTGTCAATGTCTGGGACTGCCTCCACCCAAGTGTAGCTTCTTGTACTTGGATTTGTTGAACCCCATTTATTTCATGTAATCCCACTTTTTAAGCTTCACTAAGTTGCTTTGGCTGGCATCTTTTCCTTTTGTCATATCAACTGCACCCTCATCTTAGTGTCATCAGCAAATCCGCTGAGGCTGCACTCAATCCCAGTTTATGTCATTAATGAAGATAGCAGATAACACCAATCCCAGTGCAGACCTCTAAGGAACACTCCTCATTACTGATCTCTATCTGGATATAGAGCATTGACTGCAACTCTCTGGATATGGATATCCAGCCAATCATTTATTCAGCAAACAGTCCACCCTTCAAATTCATCTCTCTCCAATTTAGAGACAAGGATGTTGTATGGGAGTAACATAACTATTTACCATTGAAAAATGGCAGCATCTATTTCTCTGAGAGAACAGTACTACAAGATGATGTAAGACATTCCAGAATAACAAATAACTCCTGAGCAGCAATTACATAAGAAAATTCATAATACAAAGAATTACGTCTTAGGTACTTGAATGGTACCACAACCTGAATTTGCAGATGCTTCCAAACGCAAATGACTGTTCACACTACAAGGTAACGGAGTTAAAAAATACATCACAGTATGGCTTAATTTACTTACCAGGCAGATGTACTCTGAAAAGACATCAGGGGTGGGCTTAAAGCATCTCCTTTTAGAGTATGTACTGTCTGTGACGTCTGAGGCTGTGGCTGAGGCTGAGTTTGAGGCTGTGTCTCTGGCTGAGGCTGAGTCTGTACTTGGCTTGGGTCCTGAGCAGAATTAATCCATCGGCTCTGTCCTTGTGTCATCCACTTTCCCTGGATTCCCCACCGTGCTAGGTAAAATTTGCAAATATCATAGTTCATTGAAGAGTAATACAAAAGGTCCAGTACCAGCAAGATCACCACAAAAAAACCATAGATCCACACCCCTAACAGTGCGCTGTAGTTGCTGTGAAAAAAAAGAAGGGAAAACAAGTCAGGTACTACGTCAGTAATCATCACCGTTTTAAGAGTTATTTGTTTGTTCAATTATGTCAGTAGAATACATAGAAAACAAAAATTTTCTTTTGAAGTATATAATTAAAAATTATAAATACTGTGTGACATACCAATTTATACCAATGTATAAATGTGGTCTATGATTAACTCCAGTGCTTTAAATGAGACCACAAACGAAGAGTTGATGATGTTAGGTGTGGTAAAGAAGAGCAATGAGAGTGAATGTCCATCTCTTTTGGCCTAGAACCACTCCTTCTCTGCCACTGAGTGCAGCCCAGTTCCCTGGGGTCTCTGTTCAGGCTGAGGGATAGGGCTGCTGCTTCTCCCTTCACAGGTTTAGCCATTAGCAAAACTAAGCATACATTCCAGAGTCACAGACAGGCTGCTTCAGCCAAGGGCTGCTTTCAACAGCACTTACACACAGCACTCCTGTAGAACAGACACAGGCGGCCAAGACCCCTTCCTTCTCTCTGCCTGGCAGAGACATAAGGTCACCAGTACAGGCGTACACACATCTCCCTCTACGTTCATGAACACACACACATTTGCAATCCTTCAAGCACTTGGTATGGGTCCTTGGCATTTCCCCAGACCCCACAGGTACTGGCATGGCCTTTCTGTCTGCCCAGAACTCCTCTGCCCCGATCCTTAAGCACTGCCTGCCACAGCCCTTCAGTCTGCCCAGCACCCCTCCCCACACCCTGAGCCCCATGGGTGTCCTACTTGCTGGATGGTCTAGCTTGAAGTTTACTGGTGAATATATACTACCCCTTCCCATGCACACCCCCTTGGGTTTGCAGAGCTCTGTGATACATTCCCAGTTCAGGCCCCGTTGGATCACAGTTGTATCAGTTGCAAGGTTCATACTTCATAGAAGCAGTACCTGTAGCTCATTAGCCTGCCAATGCATGCGACTGGAAGGTTTGTTTCTTGTGATGCTTCCCACCTTAAAAGTCATCCATCAGATAACCCTATAGGAATAAACATTCCTATGCTCTTACCTGCTCTCATAAATTAGTGTGACTGACCAGATTTGGTGTCCATCACCACTTCTTGTCTTGTTACCTCTTGTTTCATTAAAAGAGGTCCTTGACCAGATACCCTTAAAAGAGCAGACATTCTCTTTCCACATAGTGTTACAGACAGGTCCTGTGTTTTATTCTGCAAATTCCTTCTCCCAGAGAATAACCTCTCTGGAAGCAACAAGGCATTTATACAGAATCATAGAATCACAAGGTTGGAAAGGAGCTACAAGATCATCTAGTCTAACCGTCCTTCCACTACTATTGCTACCACAAGCCACTAAACCATATCTCATAGCTCCTCATCCAGATATCTCTTGAACACTGACAGGGACGGCAACTCCACCACCTCCCTGGGCAGCCATTCCAGTGCTTGACCACTCTATGAGAGAAAAAGCTTGTCCTTATGTCTACTCTAAATCTCCCCTGGCACAACTTGTGGCCATTTCCTTGGGTCCTGTTTGTTGCCTGGGAGAAGAGGTCAAATCCCTCTTCACCACAATCTCCCTTCAGGAAGTTGCAGAGTGTCTTCCTGAGGTCTCCCCTGAGCCTCCTCTTTTCCAGACTAAACAATCCCAGCTCCCTCAGTTGCTCCTCCTAAGACTTGTGCTCAGACCCTTCACCAGTTCCGTTGCCCTTCTCTGGACACATAGGAGCGAGGATAACCATATGAAAATATGTTGCAATCATTGACCCTGAGGAGGTGTCTACTACTGAAAACAGTCACTGCTGACATGTATTACAAAACTCCAGTCTTAAAAGTAGCTCACAGTGCTTGGACTTGCCTTCAGTGTTCTGACTAATTATTGTTGGATGCAGCAGATGCTATTACAGGTATCTCTCAGATCATTAGTTTGCTGACAGTAAATTTAAGAAGGAAAAATACTGACAAGATCTTATTATATTATGCATTCAATAAGAAGAAATTATTACATTTGTATGTACATGCTGGTGTAGCTATAGGGTGTATATGGATAAAGGTAGTAAAATTATCTGCTGCTGGCATGGTATGCAGAGCTTTAAAGCTAGGACAGATGAGTAAAGTTATTAAAAGAAAAAAGAAAGAAAAGAGGTCGAGAACTGGGAGAACAAAAAGGGGGAAAAGTGCTAAAGCTCTGCAGGCGACACAATACTAAAAGTAAACAACTATCAGATGAAAGTGCAGTCTGGATTGGAAATTCTGAGTGAGGAAGATGAGGTGAGAGCAGAGAAGGAAAGAAACAAGTAAAAATGAATTTGTTAGGTGTGCAGGAAAGAACACTGATCTAGACTTAAGAGCTTATGTGGAAATAGGTGTGGAGGCTATGAAAATGAACAAGCAGAAGAGACACTAATAAAAAATGTCATTAGGAAGACAGCCATAGGGGAAAATGATCTCAGAGTAATAGTACTATGTAAGTACTCCCATCTGTTTGGAGCTGAACTTACACAAAGAGAATCTAGCACCAGCTCAACCATACTCATTCATAGACACTCAGGGAAACTTTGAGGGAATTGCATTTCATCAGAACATCAATCAAACTTGAAGAAAAAAGGCTGGGAACATGTATTGTAGATACAAGAAAGAAAGATATTTTGACAGTTTGAAAAAATGTCCCAAACTCTTTCAAACCTAAACCATTTCAAGCTCCTGCTTTGAACCTTCACTTCTGTTTAAACTGTTGTATGGCTCTTTCATTTTATACTAAAAAAAAAAAAGTCAGTAATTGAAACAAGAAATCACATGAGAAATCAGAATTTTAATTTCTGTTGCTGCCTGTAAGCACATAACAAGACTGATTCCCCTTTTCAGTGAGTGATCTTTCCACTAAGCTGATAAACACACCTAGATTAAATGAGGCTACATAGCAAACGATTGTGAGTAAGGACAGGAAGGTTGGGGCTGTTAACAGGCTCTTCTGCGTTACTGCAGGATTAAGCTAGCCTAGGATTTCAAACTTTTCAGTAAATTCCTAGAAGGATTGGAAGTAGACAAAGCATAGTGCTTCCAAGAGCCCTTAATTCAAAAGTCAGAAAGAAATCCACTGTAACAAATCCTGTCTTTCTGCACCATTACTGCCAACAGTGTCTGTGTTACAAAGATGTGAACTGTGTTTGATCCACAGGAAGAATGGAAATGTTAGAAAACGTTATTTTTGTTTAGCAGCAATTTGAGAGGGAGGAACATTTCTTATTGTTACCTCAGAAGAATTCATTGCTATTTCAGGCATTTAGTTTTACCCATCAGAATTTTGGTTTAGTGAAAATTAGAGTTATTTTGAGTGTTCCAATTTAAAGCAACAATTTATTAATCATGCCATATACGGATTCTCCATCTGTTCCTTCTAAATAACATCTGTTCCTCACAAGTACAGAAATGAAAGAGTGCCTTATTTAACTTAACAGACAGTGGGACAGCATCACTATCAAAGGAGCCTCGTGAAAGATCACAAGCAAAACTAATAGAGTAGTGCGCTTCATACACAGAGAGAAATGCTGTATTTTGATACACTTTGTTTCTCAAACTATTAAGTTGGTAGAAAATACTAATTTTGCTGATGTTCATAACTACATGAAAAATTAAAACTTCCCTACAAATTGAGAAGATACCTTAATTAGATAATAAACAACCTTACATCTGTACCGCTGAATAACAGTAGGGCCAGAGACAGGGCAAAGAACTGGGAATCAAAGCACCTAGGACTGTATCATTTCATTGAGCTGAATTATTTAATTTTAAAAGTTTCACCCTGCAATTTGATTTTTCTGCGCTTCTGTGCAGAAGTTTCATTTTGATAAAAAAAATAAGTCTGAATGGATTCTAAATCTGTCAAGATTCAATTTATTGGAGTTTGTTCCTTCACCATGACAGACAAGTCTAATTTGGTTGCTTTGGTGTGGTTGTATCTCCTTCTCCCCCTCTCTGGGTGAAAAGCCTGTCTTCATCTCCTAATTCTCCCACCCTCCCAACAGGTGATTCTGGAGCTTTGCTTTTAGCTTCCATACAAGGTTAGCGTAGTAATGCTGGAGTGACTTCCAAGGCCATCCTGCCCAGTCCTCTGCTGTCACAGACCCACAGACAGAAAAACTGAATATGGAGTAAAGTTACATGATCATTCCTTCCTAGCTTGTACATGAAACAGAATAATTCATGGATCTACCACAAAAGCTTAGGAGCTCTTTATTACAAGACACTTCGGCTTTTACAGAAATAGAATATACATATGCTAAGAATTTGCTATAGAATTGATGCAGATATTTACTTTTGCAAATATTTGCTCTGGCTTCAAGAAGCCTTGAATTGGGCTCTCTGAGGAAAATAAATACTTTTTTTACCCGTCTCATCCAATTCCATGTACAAAATCCTACACAGATTTCTCTGACACCCCTACAAAGAAGTGAAAATAGACAGATTATGTTATTATTTTTACCCATGCAATTCCTTCAATCTAATTTATTAATTTTTTGATAGAGATGGCAAGCAGGTTTTGGACTAAGCTGTTTTTTAGAAGAGTTTGTTGGTTTTTTTTTATATGCTGCACACGAACAGAAAATAATTCATTAAGGAATTCGGGCTTAAAAAAGCCCAACAAATCAAAACAATTGTGAGCAGAATTCTACAGCTGCAGTATAAATGTGGGCAGATGGCCATGGAAAATGCTTCTTTCCCTATTCTAGTTAAAAAGGACTGTTACTTGCAGTAGTAACACGTTTTAAGTGTTGCCCCAAGCAAATGCAAGCTTATCTCCTTGCAAATTCTTTGGTACTTCTATCACTGAGGAAACCTCAGTATTTTTTTACATACACACTAAAATAGAAGATATCTAAAGATGTTTATCCCATCTTCTATTTTCCTGAAGAATCCACTGCTGCAGTACCTAAGAGGTCTTCCCAGCTAGATTGCATCTTTTTGGAACAGTTGGTGGTGGAAATGAAAATTTTATGTATTTATTTAGCTTTGCTTTCTGTAAAGAAGATTTTCTGTGAGATATTTAACCAAATGCCAGCTCTGCAGGGGACATGCTGCACATGGAGAAAGATACTGCTATTCTGGTCTCACATTGCTTTTGGTGCAGTGTTGTAATGTGCTGTGCTAAAGCCATTCAACTCTGAAAAACTGGAATAAAACATAAAAAAACCACGGATGCATTACAGACTGCCATAACGCTGTTCCAGTGTCAGATCAAGGGCTCCTAACACAGTACTGCTGCTGATTCCTACCAGAACATGCATAACAGAGAATCTGAGAGGACAAATACAAGACTCAGGTTAATACCATTTTTAAGAATAATCAAATAACTTATTAGACAAAGTGTTATGGAAAGATTTTTGGATGGCAGAACCTTTTTTGTCTGTTAGACTTCACTGGTATTCCTATATTTAATACCACATGAATTGCTAACATTTAAAAATATTATAAACTGATTAGTCTGTGTGATTGCAAAGATATAGACCAGTATTCTGCAGTTACCAAAACACAGAAATGTTTAGTTATGGAAATTTAAGTAATGTAAATAAACCCACTATCATTACACTGTATGACTATAGAAGACAAATGTGGTTTTTCAGCCATGTCACAACAAAGGAATTACATATGACTTCATTAATTTTTCCCCTCAGTTGCCTGATAAAACAAGAGATGTGTTTTGATGATCACAAGAATGGCAAAGGGGAAAAATAACAAAATATTAACAATATTGAATCATTCTTCCCTTAAAACTATAATAACTATAATGCTGTTTTTTTCAGTTCATTGCTACTCCCATATCCTAAATCATTCATTCTCTGCAGCCACAGTACAACAGGTTTCACCAGATTTTTTTTTCACTGGTGTGTGAAATTAGATCTAAAGAAATAGCTGACTTTGTAACAGTAAAGTGAATCCGGGATGTATTAGAATCCAAATAAAGTTAAATTACAAAAATTAAATAAAGTCCGAGTGTGTTAAGATGTTTATTATAATGACCTAAGTGCAGGCATCTAGGCTTCGCTTCTTTCTGCTTTTCTACAGCACATTAAAATCGTAAGAAAGTCTTCTACAAATCTCAGTGAGCTCAAGATGAGATTTCTCTCTGTCTCTTTACACTGGAGGATTTTTAATAGACAGTCAGCTTCTCTTCATTTTCCTGGCCCTGATGGATTTAATATCTCAGAAAGTTGCAAAAGGGGAATAGTGGTTTCACTCATGCACTTCTCTAAACAATCTCTCCAAAAGCTCGTTTTTGTATTTAACATTTTCTCTCACACCTTTGCTTTGCACCTTTGATCAGCACGTAGCTAATGTCCACAAGAAATTCTGGACTGAAGACATATGTAAGTTATGCACTCTGCAAGTGATTCTCAATGACTCTTACCAACAAACACTACAGAAATAGCCTCTTCTCCATCATGAAGTGACTTTTAAAGAAGCGACTGCTTGATTAAAACTAAAATCAAGTTACACTAGGCTCTAAGTATTTTAATTAAAGCCAGATCCCATAGCCCATAGAATACCAAATGACCTTCTTTCCCATTGATGAACTGCTTACACATCACAGCCCTAAAATAGAAAGAACTCTATGTTTACTTCTGTGGGTGCATGCATGTGTGTGTACATGTACATGTGAATGCACATGCAAACAACAAGGCAAGTGGCAGAGAAATGTTCTACATCCCAGGAGATACTATGCAAGTATCACTCTTTTACACTACGTATGCTACAGGCTCCTTCATTCTAGGTGGTAGTTGCTAACACCTTTTAAGTTATGTGTGCAATCTATACAAGATTCAAACATCAGAAGGCAGAGCTGTAGGAAAGTTGTTAAAGAAGACAACACTGAGCTGGCTGCTGCTTGCTGCAGTTAAAAGCTAAAGGAGCCAACATCAGAACATCAGTATTCTAGCTCTGCACCTTGTACTATATAGATGAATGACAACAAGCTGACCAAGGTTTGCATCAGAAAACAAAACACTGAAATCCCCATAGTAACCAAAAATCAATAGGTTGGAATTCCAGCTGTCTTTAAACTGTCCCTTTCTTGCCCTGAAAGGCCTGGATACCAGAATAAAATGTCAGGAGAAAGCAGACAGATCAGAATTTGACTGTGGGAGTTTACATCAGCTGAAAGTTGCCCTCTGCACCAAGAGAAATTACAGTGGATTAGTGTGGCCAGAATATAAAATATGATACAAGATAGATCACAAGTGAGCATTTTGCCATCATAAATAAGTAATCAGTAACAAACATCTGCTTGCTACAGATTAGTTTCTTATGAAAAAAAAAACACAAAACCAACAAAACAAAACTAACTGATATTTAACCTAAGGATAGGCCCAGAACTACATGGAAGTATCTCAGGTGAGAGGCAAGGAGACCACACAGTGTTGGTATATAAGCAAATACATTCTGTTCCCCAAGGTCAGAGATTACAAGAGATTTACATGTGAAATATCAGAGATTCAATACAGGGCTGACATGGAAAAAGTCAGCTCCCTCCCTCTTCCCCCATGGATATGGTTTTGAGGTTTATTTTTACAGACGTACATTTAAATATAGTTCAGATAAGACTGAAGCTGAGGAGAGACTGTTCATTTGTAACTTTTACATGTATCTTTATATCTCTTGTATTTATATGCAGCTTTTACTTACACACTGTCCAAACAATGTTTATAATATGCACCAAAGCAATGAAAGCAAAGCTAAAATACCATTTTTTTAAAAAAGTTCTACAATAGCAAAAGCCTTTCAGCAATGTTTCTCTGTGTGTGAATATTTTAATTGCTCCTATCATTAAGTACACCTCAGACTACATTACTAGACCAGGAACAGTTTGGTGAAGAGCACTTAAAACTCATGTACTTACTTATGCATATATCCATCTACATTCCCTGTTAAGTTCATCTGCATAACAGTCTGAAATTCTGTCTCATTGCAGCAGTATTTAAACACTGTGTTGTTATGGTGACAGCAAAAGATGTAAGATTTATTGTCAGAAAGACGGGGGCAGTGAAAACCAAAGTGGTAGCGTCCTTTGTAGTCTGTATATGGCTCGCAGACCCGAAAATGTGCGGACAACACTGTAAAACAAAGAACAGTATTAGCATGGTGAGTCATTTCTGTCATCTGTGTGCTATGAACTACAGTTTTTCATTGGTTAAGCTTAAACAACTGCTCTTTGACTTCTGAAAAAGTTAATATTTCAGAACTTTCAACATTATAACAATTTATATTAAAAACCATAGCATTTAGAATTTTTTTTTTTTTTGACTTTTACTACTGCTATAATTCTGGTAACTGTCATTTATTTCAAGAGAAGAGAAGAACTGCTTCAAGCAGTTCCAAGCCAAGAAACACAGTAGTGTTGTTTAGGAAAACATTTTCATGGTGCGTACACTGATATCCACAAACACCTAACAATGTCCATGTTTGATTTTCCATCAATGACTTCATAGAAACAAAAAGCTGATATAAAAACTGCAACAAAAGTTTGAAGATGCTTGATTCTGGTCATTGTTACTGATAGAAATCTCTTTTCCACTGTGAAGGTAGTTCTTCAGTAAGGATTGTTCTGTCAGATATAGAAAGTACAAAACAGTTTAACAGATCTCAACAACTTTGAATTTGCAAGCAGACAGAACTAATAGAAATACAGCTACTCCTGGGAATTCTTACAGGTCTTCTTGATTAAATTCTCATGTAAAGTGTTTATTACCCCTCTGGGAACATTTTTTCCTGGACTGTCACAATGCTTTTACCATCACTTTTCCTGAAAAAGACATAAAAGGAAGGCCATCCATACTCTTTGAATGCAGCTGACTGCTGCAGTGACTGGCACACTGTGGTTACAGCTGCATGGTAAGATCGCAGGCAGCCTGCTGGTTACCAGCAGCTCTGAACTGGAAGCCATGCAATCACCTCAGTTTGCCTGAACTAAGCAAGCGTGCCGAGGGGCAGCAGGGAGAGCCCTTCCAGCATGGTTGTTAATCACCTACATGTGAATACTTTGTACATCTGAAAAGTCCTGTACAAAAAAAGCTCCATATACTGACACCATTCTGATTCATTTTTGTGGAAGGCCCTGCAGTATTAAGGGCTATGCGTACCATAGGGTGCCCAAAGGCCTTCCACTCTAAAGAGAACAAAATATAGAAGTCAAGAATCTGAATGCACAAGTGGCAGTGAAGTGTTTTTACTCTGATTAGAGAACAGAGGCACAGTAATGCTGTGGGCAACTGTGCTTTGTGAGGTCACACGGACTGAAGATGCTCACTTTAGGCTGGCAGAATTAACTCTTCTAACTTGATGTATGATTTTCATATATGTTTATCAGTACATGAGGATACTTATAATGACTGGCATAGATTGAGCTTAACTGTACAGCATCTCTCCACACACAGTTCCTGTTGACTGAAAATCGTTGCTTTCTCATTTTTATTTTCAGGTTGCTCGCATTCTTTTACTGTCGGCTTAATCAAATTTTAATGATCATTGCAGTGGAAATGACTTCTTTATTTATGCGTATAGAGGGATACAGAACAAAGCATTAAACTGAGGAGAAAACAAGGTCACATATTCCCTTCTGAATGAAGGAAAACTACTCTAAACATTTTACAGTCTGAATTATGTATTTATTTTAATGGCTAAACTGAGGCCTAAAAAAAATTGCATGAGAATCTCACAAAATCAGTGCAGGAATTCATTTGCATCCTCTCATGCCAATGTTTAGTTTTTCATTTACCTGAAACATGGTCCTCCTTGATAATAGGACATGTGTGGCTAGAATGCAAACTTAGGTTTTGTAACCACAAATTTATTGAGAAAAAAAAAACAACACCAAACCAGATAGATGAGGGCCTCCAAGGACAATCAAATGTGTATAAAACCTGATTCACCCTTTATGAAAGTTCCTATCTCCACTTGTCTCTATTTCTACTGATTGAAGATCTTACAGCAGTTATCCTCCAAAAACAGACCTCAGCTCCATTCCTAAAATTAGCTGAGATGAACCTAAGCTCTAGTATTAGTGTAGCACAGTGTTCAGAGAGGCAAGTAATCTCAGATATGGATTGGTAGGATAATGCAACTATTATGCACATTATGTACACACACACACCTGTCATTATTACTTTAACAACAAAGAAAATCCCTTCATAGACAATGTCAGTCGGGATCTGAAGAGCTTGAAGAATGCTGTGATTACCAAAGGAATACAGACATATGTATTTGTTTGAACAAGTACTACCTTCTCTCTCCCCTTGCCCCATCACCTTAAATAACATAGCAGTAAAATGTAGGTGTTCCATGATTGATCCACATTTGAAAAATTACAATGGCTGAGGTTGGAAAGAAAGTTGCCTGGCCCAACCCCTGCTCAGACAGGGCCACCAGAGAGCTGCTGATCAAGCCGATAGGCAGCTTTTGAAAATCTCCAAAAAGGAGGCTCCACAACCTCTCCAGGCAATCTGTGCCAGGGCTCTGTCAACTGCATGGGATGAGATTGCTTCCTAGTGCTCATAGGGAGCCCCCTGTATTCTAGTTTGTGCCCACTGCATCTAGTTCTGGTACTAGGCAGCACCGAAAAGAGCCTGGCTCTGTCCTCGTTGCATATTCAGGTATTTACATTCATTAATGAGATTCCCCTGAGACTTCTTTTCTCTAAGCTATATAGTCTCTCAGCATTTCCTGATATGAGAGATGCTCCAGAAAATTCTTCATCTTAATAGACTTTTGTTGGTTTCTTTTCATTATCTCTGTCTCTTGCCTGTACAGGGGGGCCCAGAGCTGAACACAGTATTTTTGATGTAGCCTCAGCAGTGCTGAGTAGAGCGGAGGGATCACCTTCACCAACTTGCTGGCAATACTTTGCAACCCAAGACACTATTACCTATCTTAAATACAATGGCACTCCACTGTTTCATTTTCAACTTGATGCCCACCAGTATTCCCAGGTCTTTTTCTGCCAAGTTGCTTTTCAGTTGGGCAGTCCCAGCATGCACATGTGCATATTCCTCTCTAGTGACGAGACCTCTTTTTCTCCACACAAGATACCTGTCAGCCCAGATCTCCAGCTTGTCCGGGTCCCTTTGGAAGGCAGCATGAACTTCTGGTCTCTCAGCTACTCCTTCCACTTCTGCATCATCAATAAACTTGCTGGGGTGCACTCTCTTCCATCATCATTTTAGTTTTAACTATGCACGTTTATTATTATTATTATTATTATTATTATTATTATTATTATTAAAGCTGAGACCTATGGCACAGAAGAAATTCATAAACCAAACAGAGTATTTGAGTAATGATTTGATTTCTAAAATGACCAGAAGCTTGATTCATTTACTTAAATACAAAACTCTGGTGCCTGTTAAGATTTCCCCAGTCTGTCCTGCCTCCTCTCCAGCTTTCAGTGAAGAAAGTTCAGGTCTCTCATAGCTCCAGTGCACACATGGATGAGCAAGAGCAAGTCAAATGGCATTAAATTAACATGGTTAAGCTCTTGTAAAGGGCCCTAGGCATTCTGTAAATGTTTAATACCAGCTTGCAGGGATGCATTACAAACATTCTAATGCATACAGTTCTACTAATCATTGTTACTAGGAAAAAAGCATCCATGTCTAATGTCAACAAACAGAAAGAACATTGACCTCCTTTCTGGTAGTCACACAGATCAGTGTATCAAAGTAATGCCTGCTTTGTGTTTTACTGTAGATCTCTTTACAATCAGGGAGCTTTCCTGTAAGTCACGTTTCTGGGCCTAGTAAATCTGAGTGAAATGGTAGCCTTCATGGAGTAGCCTTGCACCTCAGTAGTGACATTTATTCATAGCATTTTTATTCACAGTAGTGAGCTGAAGAGTATCCATTTAATCTTTCTCTGATAAATTGCCTGCTTCAGATGCTTCAAATGAAGATATATCTGTGTTATGCTGTGCAAAAAATGTTCTTTTAAGATATATACAAGCTACTTCAAAAGTAATGCCTCCTGTTTTATAGTACTGGCTAATGACGTTAGAGGCAATGTTGGCAGTATGGCTGCAGAGGCTGAATCTTCCCACCGATAATCCATTACATTTTCTTGCTGTGAGACAGATGGTAGCAGAGGGACAACCTGACTAAATAACGTCTGTACTGGAAGTGTGGAGGCAGCAAAGGTGTGTCATGAAATTCCTCCGTGTGAAAAAAAATGGCACCCATTGACATTCACTGACATTTGGAGACCAAACAGTAGCTGTGAGCACAGTGAGGTGGTGGGTGGTGCATTTCAGGAGTGGCAACGGTGACAGTGGGACACCTCTGCTGGTACAGATTTTTACAAACGCAGCATGCAGGTTCTTGTTCTGCACTGATGAAAATGCACAACTAATCATGGTGATTATGTTGAAAAACAGCATTTCGTAGCTGAGAATTTGCTGCATTCAATACTCTTATCGTGCTCTTTGTATCTGTTACAATTTCCACAGAAATAAATAGGAAGCATTACTTTCAGAGCAATCTACAGATGTACCTCATTATACCTTCATTTATCATGCTTACTTGATATACAATTAGATGAATGTTATGGCATATACATGTTAAATGTAGACTTTTTTTTTTGTACGATGCCTTTTTCCTTTAAAAGTGTTAGATTACTACATTACAGCTACATAGTAATTTTTGCAGTGTTTAGTATAGATTGTTGTTTCAAATTTGAGACATTTTAAGAGAAAATGCTAGAACTAGCTTTGAAAATAATAGGATAGCAAAACTACGAGTTTTCATATATAGTTCCTGCAGCTTAGCCTGGGTAAATTACAGCCAGGTTAAACTACTGCAAGAGAACAACAGCCCTGTGAGGTTAGGCTTGAGTTGTATATGGCTCCAGTGCATGTTGTCAGAACTGAAACTCCTTCTCATAAGCAATGGAATACTTCCACACTTCTCAAACTATCCAGTGCTGAAAAAGAAACTGCATTGTGAGAATGCATTAAAAGGCTCCAGGAAGGTTTAGATTCTTCCTCACTGCAAAGTAGTTTACTTATCAGCACATGTGAAATGTTCTCTGATCCCTAGGCAGATTCTTTGACCATTCTGAAGGAAAATTAAACACAGCTGAATTTGGTGATGAAAAAAAGGGGAAGGATGACTACAGATAGAAGGCAGAATAGAAGATAACATTGGGTCAGAGCGTGAGTTAAGCTTCTAATAAAATGTATTCCCAAACAAACCCTTAAATAGTAAAATGCGTGCTAGTGATTACAATAAATAGACAAAAAAAAAAAAGCATGAAGTGATGTTTGAGTTCTGGTCTGAATTTGCTAGTCACTGCGTGGTGGGATAACCCTAGTTGGCAGCTATCACCACAAAGTCACTCATGAACTCCTCCTCCTAGTGAGAGGGGGAAGAAAATCAGAAGGGCAAAGTGAGAAAACTTGTGGGTTGAGATAAAGGCAGTTTAATTTGTGAAGAAGAACAGAAGAAAAAAATAGGTGACATGAAGTCAATCACGCACCACCAGTGGAGAGATGTCTAGTCCATTCCCCAAGCAACGGCAATTAATGGGGAAAAAAAAAAAAAAAAAAGCAACAAACTCCTGTCACAGCTTTATGGCTGGGCATGACATTATCTGCTCTGGAAAATCACTTTGGTCATTGTGATTCAGGGGGTCTGGCTGTACAGCCCCAATGAGAAACAGAAAATGCCTTGATGTTGTGTAAGCAGCGTCCAGCAACAGCTGCAGCGTTGCTGTGCTATCAATGCTGTATTGGTCATCAGTCTGAAACACAGCACCACAGAAGCTGCTGGAAAGCAAAATAATCCCATCCAGCCAAATCCAGTACACCGTGACAAAGCATTACACAGTTTACAATAAATCAATCATTTCACTTGCTGTATTTGCTTATTGGATCTCTGATTCCTAGAGCAAACTAAAGTATAATGTTTTACAAAATATTTTTCCTGAAAATAACTCAAATCCTGAGCATGAAAGAGCCTTATCTCTACAGCAATACTTAGGATGAAAGTAATGTAGCTGAAAGGCTGTGGGTTGTCTGTTGCAAAGATGGCAGCTGTTTCTGGAGTGGATTTGCATGTGGAAATTCTCATCCTGTTTTTAAAAGGCATTACTGAACAGGTTGATGATATAGATGCTCCTATCTCTGTTCCTACTAATTTCCGGAGAATAGTCTGCTATGCTTCAACAGACTGATTTGATCTCATCTTAAAATTTATCCAGTCTACCATAAAAAGTAAACAGCCAGTGTATATGAAGCTGCTACTGCAGCCCTACCTGTTCATGGTTAAACTGTGCAATTTTTTTTCTAATTTAGTCGCATAATTTTTCAAGTACCAGAATTTTCAGAATGGCTGATCATTATAAGCTTTCCAAATAAATCCATACAAATACTCACATATTTACATTTTACTTAGCACAACACCAATCATCTGAGAGTCTCTGACAATTTTGCTATGTAAACATTCATGTTTTAATTGAAAGGATAATTAATGTAACATGCAAATAATGTCAAATTTTGCTTGCTAGTATTAGCTTCGATGCCATCCCTTATGTATTTCAATCCATTACATGAATCTATCAATATTCCTGTACAGTAAAAATAGGCATTACAGTGGCCTGAGAGGATATCTTACCATATGACTGCATGCTGCTTCTCCCTCTATTAGAGGCTCCCTATTCAGTTAGTACAGTTAATAAACGTCCATGTATTCTGAAATCATGCATCACTGTGATAAAACAAAATCAATCTGAAGTTTTAGTATGCCCAATTTATCTTTTTTTTTTTTTTTTTCTTCATGGGGTCACAGTCTATTTCTCATATATTTTTATCTATTTCTATTACATATTTCTATTATAACTATTTCTGCATGCATCAGGACAGGTTAGGGGATGATCTGCTGGAGATGAGCTCTGTGGAGAAGGACATGAGGGTGGGTCCTTGTCAACAACGGATTAGCCATGAGCTAGCAGTGTGCTCTGCTGCCAAAGAAGGAATGGCATCTTGGGGTGTGTTAAAAAGAGCATGGCCAGCAGGTTGAGGGAGGTGATCCTCCCTCTCTACTCTGCCCTGGTGATGCTATGTTTAGACTACTGTGTTCAGTTCTGGGTTTCCCAGTCCAAAAGAGACAGGGATCTCCTAGAAGCAGTCCAGCAGAGAGCCACAAAGATGATAAAGCTCCTGGAGCATCTTCCATATGAGGAAAGGCTGAGTAACCTGGGTCTGTTCAGCCTGGGGAAGAGAGGACAGACTGGATCTGATAAATGTTTACAAATATCTAAAGGGAGTTAGGAGGCAAATAGATGAGGCCAGACTCTTCTTGGTGATGTGTAGCTATAGGACAAGGAACAAGTGCCAAAACTTGAACATAGGAAGTTCCATACTAACATGAGGAAGAACTTCTTTACAGAATGGGCAATGGAGGAGCACTTGAAAAGGTTACCCAGAGAGGTTGTGGAGTCTTCTTCTGCAAAGATATGAAGATCTGTTTGGATGCCTACCTGTGCGACCTATTATAGGGTACATGCTTTAGCAGGGAGGTCCCTTCCAACCCCCACAATTCTGTAATTCTAACCACACAGCTCAAGCTGCCGAATTTTAGCCTCATCCTTAGCCACCACCACAGTACCAGACCTACTGCCACTGTTTCCTTTTCTGACAAAAAGGAGTTTGGGCCCTGAGAAAAGCTGTTCTGGGAACTTGCCTGTTAACTTCTGCCCTTTCCTTCTGCCTGCAGAGCCAATTGCACTTCAAATTACTGAGTGCAGTTTACAAGCATGCGTATAGATTTAAGAACTTGAGTATTTGTATGTCAAAGATTGGAAGTGAGGCACAGTTTCACAGGTGAAAATCTGAAAATCTAGGAAACTCAAGAAGTTTTGCCTTTAGATTTTCATTTCAGCTCAGTTTAAGAATGCTGTTTGTATAATTTCAGTGAGAGTAGCAATCTCTTTTTTCCCCTCATCACTCTCAGTGCATTAAGCCATTAGTTTTCCTTTATGGAAGATGATCCTACGCAAAAAAAAAAAAAAAAAAAAAAAGTACACACATGCTGTCTACAAAATAACAAATAATAAATGTTATCCTTTCATTCATGTCCCATGAAAGGTCATTTAGCAATGGTTTAAACCTAATCCTACAGATGTCAGTAGTAAAATTCCCCAATGAGTGGAACTTAGCTAGCATGAAAGACTTGTGGTGACTCCAAATGAAGCCTGCACTCTACACTGACTACTACTATTGGTATGTACATTATGTAAGAACTAAAGGTCATATATAACTAGTTTCAAATAAAAAACTGTATATCAGAGGCACTAAGTTTTGTCTCCTAAGAAAAAAATATGTCAAGCCATTGGCTTTTTGCTTGTGTTTGAGGTAACAGGTGTTTATGTAGCAGCAGATTACTACTGTTTGCAAGCATAGTGCTATCCTCCATTCTACTTGAACACAGATATATTTAAATTATCTTGGGGAAAATGATTGGAAAAGTGAAGTTTCAGGTGGTCTCTAGTAGAAGTCCCCTAAAATGGGCAGTAAAAGTACGAAAACATAATAAAAATCAAAAGAAGAGACCAGAACAGCTTTGTGATGTTTGATCAGTGGGATATAATCACGGAAGCCTTCTTGAATAACTGACTTTTCTTTTACACCAGGGAAATAGCTTTCTGAAATGACCTGAACCTGAAAAAACACAAAGAGATTGCTCTGATCTCCCATGCCTGATTCTTGTGCACATGAGGCTGGTAGAAATGAAAAGACTCCACAAGAAAATAAAATTTTAAGATTACACCAACAAGTAGTTTAGCTGATAATAGTGTAACATTTTTCACAAAAGGAGATTAGATCTATAGCTAGGTAATTATTTATCCTTAGTAAGAATCAAGCTGAACATTTGCAAACAAGCACCAGTACTGTGGGAAAGAAAATCCATACATCAAATAACTGATGGGGATATAACATTGCACATTACAGACATCACACATATGCAATAATATGCCAACTCTTACTGAAGCACAAAGATATCTGAAGATACATAATCTCTGGTAAAGTTTTAAGTATGGTGATTATGGATGCGGTGCGATGTAAGGGAATATGGAGCAATGATGGAAAAAAACATCAACCACATTTTCAGTTAAAAAGCACTTCAGGAAGGGAGGGCAAAGGAAGCCTTAGTCAGAGTTAATAATTCCTAAGACCAAATCTATTTGGCCTGTGAATATTCACCCCTTCTTTTTGTTGTAAATGAAAACATTCATCTATCATTACAAAATAAATAAAAAAATAAATAAGTAAATAAATTCCATGTCTTCAATGTCGCAGATACCTTCTGAAGAACAAATGCAACTAGCAATCATAGCACTCAACTAATTCTCAATATAACAGCTGACAGATTGCTGCAAGATCTGTGTGCTAGTACCAAATATCTAGGGCAGATCTAGTGAGTATCTACAGAAATAAACATATATTCCCTTCTAGTTCTGTCAGTTCTTCAGATTTGGGAAAATTTGCATTCTATCATGTCATACATTTTTCTTTAAGTATGTGTGTGTATATATATATAAATATAATGTAAGTTACATCATATCTGATGTGTACTCATTTCAAATACAGTTAAAGTTCAGTGTTCAATCTTTCACATGCGCATGTGTTTTTGTGTACACATAAAAGCATACATTTGGTACCCAACTTGCTTTTTTTTCAAATAGATGATAATTCAGAAAAATGATTGGATTTTATGGTGGTGCAGATTTTGTTTTTTTCTTTTAAGTGAGCTGAAAAACTACTATAGCAAAACAGTGTCTTTTTCTGTTAAACTATGTCATTGCCCCACCAGCTCTTCTTTCTTAAGCTGAATTTTCAATTGCATTTCACATTTCAGCCTTGGTTGTTAGATGTAAAGATGCTTTATTTGTTATTCAATTAACAACTCACTTGAACATTTTGGTTTTTTAGGAATTTGATATCAAATTGCAACACTTTTTTCCTCATGACATTGATAGATAAATTCAAGATATGAAAGTTAGTTACCTGCTGACAAGAGTAATGAAAGCAAAACCATCAGCACATTCAAGGACTGTTGACCACAACTTGTCATTGTTGGCTTTCATTGGTCCATTAGAGAATCACCTGTTTGATGAGATGCAACATCGTGGTTAATCGTCTATTTCATACCACTTTCATTTGTTCAAACATTTACTTCCCCACAGAGCTTTGGTTAATTGAAATAGCTTCACACAACAAGAAAAAAAAATATTTCTATTATTCCTTTCTCATTTTACCCTGAATGTACAGAGCTATTTACATACTTTTCATTAACTCAGGGTATAGAGAAATCATATAAAGTATTTATTGGATATTCACACTTCCCCTGTAATCTAAGATGAGCAAGACTGTGCTTGTTTTATTGTCACATGAATGGGCTGTTGTATTATGCCTGTAAGAACCAGAAGGATATAAACAATGTAAAAATAAATTATCTGCTTTGGAAGTTGATCTGTTTTACTCCAATAGAGGGTGCAGTCGTTCAGAAAGTGGGTTGAACAACTGAGATGGCTGGAAACATTTGAAAAAAGTACTTTGATTCTAATGAAAAGACTTTTGTAGAATTATTCCTATTTCTTGGTTTTCCTGGAAGACAGGGCGAGATGCGATCAGTTTGGCTGGCAGTTGTTCATAAAAAGGATAGCCTAGATAGTTTGTTTTGCAGAAAAGCCCTACAGCTGGGGAAACGCATCTTACATCTGCATTGATTCAACATCACCAGCTGCATTTCACACAGCTACGGCAGAGGTTCTGTTCCAGTGCAAACAGCGTCACCAACACCAGCAGGAACATCTGGTACCTGTTGTCACTGCTAATGCAGACTAATGCTGGTCTTCAGCATCCTGAACTCACATGGACATTGGAAAATAATAAGAAGGTAATTTGTTGGCCTGTACAACACTGGGAGATTAGCCTATACATCAGAAAACCTAGGTTTTACTACTGAAGGCTGTTGGGTTGCATCTTATACTTAGGCTGTTGAAAAAAAAAATAAATTAAGGCTTTTATAAAGGAGTGACTTGGAAAAAATTAAAGGAAAATGGCATTTTATGTCAAAAATTAAATTGATTCTGACAGCTCAAGACCAACATGACGCCAAATGCTTATGAAATCAGATAAATACAACATAATTTACTGATTGATGTCCTCCATAGACTACAGCAGCAAATTAAAATCCCAAGACAATTGCACCTGCACTTTAAAAAGAAGGGGAATATATCAGTTTTATAATAACTGCATTATGAGTAACATCTGTGGGCACGGGAGGGGAGACAGTTCTATTGACAGTGCTTAGAGGCAACAGATTTCTCACTAAAAAAATACTATGTCCAGAACAAGTAGATTCTGTAAGAAGTCATCTTAGCAGATGAAGGAAACAGATCACAGACCTATAAATCAGTGGTAACTTTTGTACAAGAAGTTGTGATTGAATGCACTGTAATCTGCAAACGTGAATAGTGTCCAAACCACTATCATACTTGTAGCTTTAAAATAAATCAATTCAAAAGGAAAAACAATTGGAGACCATGCCAGTAAGAGATGAGAAATAATTACAGAAAATCATGAAATGCTAATTAGGAGCATATTAAGAATACTTCTAAACATCAATACTGTTTGAAAAAGTCGTTGTCTTTCTCCAGAAGGAACATCACATCAGTTAAAACACCAAGCAGATATAAAGTCAGAATTTCATAAGAAAAGAGTAATACTGATCATAAGACAGAGATTAAGAATGTGGAAGTTTAATCAAGTGAAACAGGTACAAAGGATGAGTTACCTCCTATATTGCGTAAGGAAAAATTTCCCCAGCAAACCAAAACTGCAAGAATTCTGATAGTGATTAATTACCAGAAGGAAACCTTGGCTTTAGTAACAGTTAATTAAAGGGATCAATATGCACCTCTGTTGTGTATCTGGGAAGAGACAGATGTTTGGTAGGGCTGAGACTATTAAATATTTCCATATCAAGAATAATTTAGGATGACATTAATGAGTTGATACCAAAGTTTATAATTTTAAAACCACATTTCTGTGTAATTTGTATCTCATTATCTTAGAAGGGATGGCAAAGGAGTATACAGATCCTTTTCTTTTTTTTCCCCATTATTCCAGTGGGAAAAATATGGTAGCATTCAGAAGAAACTTAATGACATTTTAAGCAGTAAATTGCATAATCTAGGTAAATATAAGCTTGTGAGCCTGATGATGATACAGAGAAAACTAATGGAATGGTAAATGTAAAAAACAATTAATAACTAATTAAGGAGACTAATGTAATTAATGTACATCACTTTGGGCTTACAAAAAGTACATTTCATAGCTCTCAATTCTGTTGTTGATGAAAGTTGCCTAATAAAGATAGTAATAATATAGCAGATTTCAATAAAATATTTTATGAAGTAGTATGCAATTTAATAAAAAATGACGAAAATGCAAAATAATAACACTGCATGTCAATTGTCAACAGAAGATTAACTCAGACAATAACAAAGAAGCATTTTTTTCTTTTTTAATTTTCACTCTTATGGGTAATAGAGTACAACCTTACAACAGAAATCTAGAACATTTTCAAGACGAGGAAGATTATACTTACGTCCAACAGAAGTAGCAACAATGATACTGGCATTTTAATCCAAGGGTTGTGATTTTCAATTTTGTTAAGTGCCAGCTCAGAAGATAAAAGTGGGGAGACAAAAACAGTAAAGATCTACAACAAAATGACAGAGTTGGGTATGTTTGTGTGTAGGAACGATACAGTGCATCATCTATCAGTCATTCTGTATATACACACATGGTCATATGGTATACCATGAAACCAGAGTGAGTGTGTGTTTATTGTTCCTAGAAAGGATACAAATATATATGTGTGATACATATATATAGAGAAAGACATAGGGAAATGTTCAATTTTGTAACTACTGATTCAGTGCATTAAATTGAATACGACCATTGCAGTGAGATGGAGATACAACCAATCATTCACTACTTTACAATTATTGTTATCATTATTTTCTTTCCATACTGTTGTTCAACTAAAGCAATCATATTTAAGTGCATCATCGTGACGATATCTCTGAGCTCTGGAGTAGGTTGCTCCAAAAATAATGCCTCTGGAACATGGTTTGTCTTTCACATTACTTTTGCCACTGCTGAAATACAACACCCATCATCTCACTATGCTCACATCCACTGTTTGGACTCCATGAACATTCAACAAGTGTTGATGAGTGTCAACAAGTATCATTTTGTTTCTGTATGGATGACACATCTTTGCTTCACATGCACTTTCAAGTCAGACATCATTTTGTCAGACTGCCTCTCTGCTGCCATTTGTTGCGCAGTAACAAAATGTAATGGAGTACTGTTGGCAAGGTTCAGCCTCTGTTGCCATATCACCAAGGCCTCTGATGCTGTTGACCAACACAATAAAATAGGAGGCATTACTTTTGGAGCAGCCCTCATAAAACTCAATCAGCCAGGTGGAATAGACAGGCAGGAGAACTGGTGGCACAGAAAAAGAAAGGGCTGAAATCACAAAGAAATCATCCTAATGCTACTCCACATGATGGAGTGATATAAGTATATACTATAATTATTTTACAGCTGAATAATTTGTTATGATTATTATTAGTCAAGACTGACAGAATGCTTTAAAATTAAAAAAAAAAATAAGGAAAAAGGAACTCTTTTTTGTTATTTCAATAAAATTTGAACAGCATGTGACAAATCCAATAGAAAGGTAAAGGGCTTGGAAGGTAAGCAATTAAGCTTTCTTCCTCATTTTGTGAATCAGTGATGTGTGATCTAATGCCCAATTTTAACTTTCAGTGCACCATTTCAATCTTATTTGAGGTCAATATGGTCATCCTTCTCCTTGGCTTTTGACAACCCATTCTTTGTCTTACACCACATTCTGTTTTCTGCTAGCAATCCTAAGTACCACTACAGCTACACAATAAAGAAGGCTAACAAAATAGTTGAAGAACCATAGCTTTAGAGGACAGTTGTTTTTTAATTATCTCCCTCTTTCAACATTTCAGTTATGAAATAGAAATAATGGTCCTTACACATTTTTCTTAAGCTCTCTTTTTACAGAATCGAGATTATGTCAGGAATATTGCTTTCCCTTGATGAAGATGCAACAATGAATGATTCAAAGAGAACAGAATTCATAAGAAAGGTGCTGAGATGTTAAGATCAAGGAGCAGAGACATTAATATGAGACACAGCAGGTGGGTAGCTTTTTGTTCCTGCCGACAGAACCTGTGTTTGCCCCTCACTTTCTACTCCCACCACCACCACTACAGAAACTGACTTCATTTTCCTAACCCCTTGCCATGTCATCCCTAGATGAAGATATGCAGAGAATTACAGAATCACAGGGTTGGAAGGGACCTCAAAGATCATGAATCTCCAACCCTCCTGCCACAGGCAGGGCCACCAACCTCCACATTCAATACTAGACCAGGCTGCCCAGGACCCCATCCAACCTGGCCTTGAACACCTCCAGGGATGGGGCATCCACAGCCTCTCTGGGCAGCCTGTTCCAGCACCTCACCACTCTCTCCGTAAAGAATTTCCCCCTGACATATAAATATACATATCATATCTTTGCACCAGACTTTACTCTTTAGTCCCACACTGTGACATTCTAGCTCGTTCTTTGCTAGTGTGTACACTGTTTTAGTTATCCTTATGGTTTCATCTAGCAGCCTGTTCTTGAGGGGGATCAGTGAATCATTTAAAAGAAAAGCTGCTCAGATAAATAACCAATTAATGTGGTGAGATTTTATGCAGAAATATTTTCCGCCTCAATTCAAAGGAAAAGACAAGTATGTTTAGAAGAGAGGCTTTGAACTTTTTTTTTGTTGTTATTATAAAGAACAAAAGGTGCTAGCTAGAGGATTAACTATATCAGCACTATCTCAGAAGTTAAAGAATAGCAGAAGTCTGGTATTGATTTAGAAGATCACCTAATTCAACTGTCACAGGATCAAGTGCACCTAACTCACAGGAAGCACCACCAACAGAGTAGTTCCCTAGACTTCCCAGGGTATTTCCCTTCCAGCACTTCTCTAGTCTCA